ACATAAGTCACTTTTTCAGTGCCGTTGTAACCAGTGATGGAATTCAAGTAATTTAACAACCGGTTCTCTGCCTAATGATTTCTTCTAACAACCAGTTTTCCAAACTGCTCAGAAAGTTCTCCCAAAGTAGTGCAAACTGGCTGAATCCCACCACCAACTTTGTACAGTCACTAAATGAAGTGTTGTAACTCATGTACTAACAATGTGAATATTCTTGCTATTTTTAATTTGTTTGTAAAATATTAAGAGAGGGAACAAACATCCCATATCATGGGACATATCAGTAGATATCATGGGTACTTTGTTGTTTACAAAAACATAAATGTTATACAGGAAAACATAACCCCCTTTTTTCCGGAATGGCTGCTTTGATTGTCCTCATCTGAAGAATTGAGATGGTCTGCGATGATGAAGCCTGCCTGCCCTTTGGCTCTGGTTTTTTTCATCCCCAGTGGCATCCTCTTTCGTTCCATTTACTTTTTACGTTGTTTACTTACCAGTAATCTTCTTAAATAATTAAATTGAATTAAACCTTCTTAATTAAATCTTCTTTAATTGTAACTCTCTGCATCCATTAATACCTGGTGTTGCTGCCTTGCTCCCTGGAACTTCTGGAAAGCTGCAGGGGCTTTTACAATCTGTCCTCTGTCTTAGCTTTATAAGTTTAACTATATATGCAGGCATTAAATTTCAGTGAGCCAAATAATACTGGAGAACTAAAAAAATTACACGTCAGAGGAAGAAGACTGCTGTCAGCATAGCAATTTCAGTTACAACCCCCCCTCCCAAACTTCTGTAGTTAGGATATGAAAAGTAGCTTTTGTGCTTGTAAAGTCTCTGCGGTCTGAAATTGATAGGGTTTTGATAACTACGGGAGTCTGGCTTCTTCACATTTTTATGGGAGTTGGGTCATGTCTAGACCAAACCTTCATAATCTGATATGCCCGCTGCCATTTTCATATGTTTGACTATAAATCAGTCATGCTGGAGATAGTGATGGGAATTATAGTCAGTGCACCTATAGGATACCAGATTGTGGAAAGTTTATCTTGACAGTTTATGACAGTACTTATTTGTTAAATGGTCTTTTGACTTGAGGTTGAATGTAAGTGTTTATCTTCTGGACACCACTCTATAAAAAAATTAGCCTTTGATCACAGCTGGACTTAATTTTCCCATAGGTAGATGCTTGCATGCCTTGAAGCTACGTCCAAAATTGCTCTGCTCATTAGAAAATGCTATGTGGAGATGTGCCAGGATAGCTTCATTGTATTATCAGATGATGAATCCATAAGAATTGAGAAAGAAAGGGCTTGTATCGTGCTTGAGGCAATGAATCTTGCTCTTGATTTTAGAAGAATGTGGAATAACGTCAGAGTCTGTATGGATCAGCCACTGGTTACAAAAACACCAGCAGGTTATAAATTATTCTTATTATAGTGGGGAAAGTAAAGCCTCTTTGTCAGTTCTTGTGCTTCATTGGAAAATGGAAAAGGAGAACAATTGCGGATAATAATACATTGAGAAGCGGCAGCAAGAACTGATTGCTGCAAATGAATTTCTTTCAGGAAAGCCACAACAGTCTCTAGATACTGAAATTGTGGGCTTAACTTTTAGACATCTAAAGTAAACACTGCCTCATTGAACTATCAATTGTTGCAGATTTGTGCTTGTATTGGGATGGCAGTATTATTTAAGCACACAAGGTTTAAGCACACAATGGGATTTCAATGTATTTCCTGTTATGACAAATATCTTAAAATCAGTTTTATGAAAGACACTTCAGCTGAATTATAAGGCCCAAATGAGAACATTACCACTAGAGAGCACGCAATGTGTTTTTGTCTCGGCAAAATGCTAAACTTGCAACTGCATATGTTTCACTAGTTAATTGTCCTGATGTTAGGAAGTTTCTCCTTAATTCCAGGTTGCTTCTCTCCTTGATTATTCCCATCTATTGTTTCTTGTCTTGCCTTCTGGTTCTGGAAAATAAGTTGATGCCATCTTCTTTGTGGCAGCCCCTCTAATATTGGAATACTGCTATCATGTCACCCCTATTCCTTCTTTTCTCTAGATGGGTCATGCCCAATTCCTGCAACTGTTCTTCATAAGTTTTTGTCTCCAGGCCATTAATCATCTTAGTTGCTCTTCTTTGCACTTTTTCCCAAGTCTTAACATCTTTTTTGTAACATGTGACCAAAACTGGATGCAGTATTCCAGGTGTGACCTTACTAAGCATTTATAAAGCGGTACTAATACTTCATGTAATTTTGATTCTGTGCCTCTGTTTATACAAGCAAGGATTGTATTAGCTTTTTTGGCTGCTGCCGCACACTGCTGACTCATGTTTAAGTGATTCCTCTCACTTCCCCAAGATTCCTCTCACAGTTACTGTTTTTTGAGCCAGGTTTTGCCTAATCTGTACTTGTAGCTTAGGTTTTTCCTGCCTAGGTGTAAAACCTTTCTTTTCTCCACATTAAATTTCATGTTGGATAGGGCCCAGTTGGATAGGGCCCATTGTTCAAGTCTGTCAAGATCTTTTTGGAACTTAAGCTTGTTTCTAGAGTGTTGGCTATTCCTGCCAGATTAATTCCATCTGAAAATTTGATAAATTCCCCTTCTATTCCCTCATCTAAGTCATTTATAAAGATATTGAAGAGTTTTGGAGAACTGAAGTACTGGAATACTGGAGTACTGAAGAGCCGAGGTGGCACAGTGGTTAAGGTGCAGTACTGCAGCTACTTCAGCTGACTGCTAGTTCAGCAGATCAGCGGATCAAATCTCACTGGCTCAAGGTATGACTCAGCCTTCCATCCTTCCGAGGTGGGTAAAATGAGGACCCAGATTGTTGAGGGCAATATGCTATTTAGTATACTGTCTTTGGGGTAAGCCGCCCAGAGTCCTCGGAGAGTGGGCGGCATAGAAATATGAATAATAAATAAATAAATAAATACTGAGCCTAAGATGGAACCTTGTAGTACCCCACTACTTACTTCCCTCCATGTAGATATAGTACAATTAAGGACTACAATAGTTTGACAGCCATTGTCAGCCAATTTTGTCAAACGGGCTGTCAAAAAGCATGGTTGCTTAGCTTTATCCAATGCTTTAGTTTCCATATAGATAGTTTGGTTGACTGATTGCAGAAGTGTGTTAGGCGGGACACAGAGAAACACATTCTGGCTTCAGAATGGCTTTCACTTGGCAGCCAGACTACACCGGCACTGTTTCCTTTTCAATACTAGACCTAGTTTTACTTGTGTATTTGAGGCTTAACAGTGATGGCCTGCCAGTACTCAGCTGTGTTTTCCTTCAAGAAAATCTGTGCCTCTCTAAATCTGTGCTCATTGCTGTTTTAATACTTAAAACTTTTCATTTATTTATTTTTATAGAAAGGGAGGGAGGGAGGGAGAGAGGAAGGAAGGAAGAAAGGGAGGGAAGAAGGAAGGAAGGAAGGGACAGGGAGGGAGAGAGAGAAGATTTTTGATGCTCTCTGCCAACTTCCCACAAAAAAACTCAATGGGGAAGCCAGCAGGAAGTTGGAAGTTGCTCTGGCTCCCACTGCTTTTTTTGCCCAGTAATAGTCATTCTGTTTTTCTGTTTAGGTAAGGAAATATCTCTGGAATGATGACCCAACTAGGTAAGAGTTGTCTAGTGATAGTTTATAGTGCTACAGTAGTGCCTAAACCTATGACCACCTTGTTAACACAAATTAGCAAATTAGTTAGATTTTCACAAGTTAATGAATTGAGCTTCTTATATCAACCCAACCAGTGCATTCTACCAGTGAAACATATTGTTTAGTGAATTCAAAGACAGAAGCTGTCTGCAGGCCCAATTACTATGTTTTTTTAAAAAAAAAAACTGTTGAGAAGCTATTAAGGAGAGGTTAAAAAAGAGAAAATGAAGAAAAGGCATAGTATTGGTGAAATGAAAGATGAGAAAGGAAAGATAAATAATAATTTAAACTTTTAAAACATATACACTATACATAAAAATAACCAGTACACGCAGAGAGAACTTGCTAGAAATTATTAGCTTCATTACTCAATTTTAAAATACCCTCAGTAGTTTGCAAACCGTACTGGAGACACAGGCATTTTCAGATCATCTGAAGCATTTCAATACCCCAATATTTTCATTTGTGGTATTGAGAGACCTCTAGTGGTGGCATGGGAAAAATATTTGAGTTTTTTTTTAAACAAAAATGTAGTGTGCTCTTGCTGTTTCCTAAAGCAGTCAAACCACCATTCTTATAGCTTCTAACCTTTTAAAGATATAATATAATATCTAAGTAGATTATTTAGTAACACTTTAAGAGAACATTTTTATGCTAAATATATCAGTTGTAAATTTACCTGAAGAGGAGATGTTGTGACTTTTTAAAGAATTTTCTTTCCAAAGTATAGGTACGTTGGTGTATTAGAAATATTTTCAATAACAGACTTATTCTTTCAGATTCCCATGGGTTAATGTAATATTTTCAATCCCTGCCTCTGACTTCGTTTACAGTGACTTAAAAGCATTTAATCATATGTATGTTATTGTTTATATAAAAACTGAAATGTGGCTGTGCTTCAGGCCATCTCAGGGGTGAAATCCAGCCGGTTCTGACAAGTTCTGGAGAACCGGTAGCAGAAGTTTGGAGTAGTTTGGAGAACCGGCAAATACCACCTCTGGCTGGTCCCAGAGTGGGGTGGGAATGGAGATTTTGCAATATCCTTCCCCCAGGAGTAAGGAGGGCATGGAGATTTTGCAGTATCCTCCTGCCACGCCCACCAAGCTTTACCACGCCCACCAAGCCACACCCACAGAACTGGTAGTAAAAAAATTTGAATTTCACCACTGGGCCATCTCCTTACAGATGCTATATTTGCTACTTTTTGGATAGGCCTATGTGTGCGTCAGTTGATATTAGCATGAAGGAATAAAATCCCCCTTCCCTTTAAAAATTTGCCACTTTCTCCATGTTGCTTAATTATTTCTTTCCTTTCTTGCAGGTACAGGAGAGAGTGGGAAAAGTACATTTATCAAGCAGATGAAGATAATTCATGGATCAGGCTTTTCAGAAGAAGAGCGGAAAAGCTACACAAAACTGGTTTATCATAACATATATTCTGCTATACAAGCTATGGTGAGCGCTATGGATGCTTTACAAATACCATACTCATCTGAACAAAGCAAGGTATATTATTGCCCATACATTGAAATCACTTTTGCTGTTTATTGTATAAATTGGATTAAGTAAAAATGCTCTGGTATAAATCCATTCAGTCAATCTGGGTAGGGCATGATTATTTAATGTGCAGATATGGAGTAGCTGGAAATATGTGAGTGATTCTATGGATTCTAACCAAGAATTTCAACGTTACGCTAAAACATGTATTATTTCACAGTGTGATGGGTTTAGGAATATATTATATGTAAAGGAGGCTGCATTAAGGTCACTAGATCTGGATTGCAAAAATCTGGATCATCATTAGAAGACAGCAGCTTATTACTGTAGGTTACACAGTCAGCCAGATGTTTAGGCTAGATTCGACATTTCATCCCCTTATTGAGTCCTTCCCAAGGACATGGAGTGGGCAGATGTTTTGATGGTGTCATCGCAGGATGTAAGTTGTTCCAAGTAAAGCTATCTTTGGTATTCATTGCACCCAAGACTTTCTTTTTGCCACAGTGGTTCTATTTCTAGCTGCAGGTCTGTGTATATTGTGATTTTCTCCTATTTTTTCTCTTCTGTTCTGCTGTTTTCAGATATTGCAGTGTCTACTTTCCAGACCTCTTTGTCTTTCTTATCAACAATGGTTAAGTCTGGGGTATTATATGGCAGGTGCGTGTCTGTTTTAATTGTAAAGTCCCAGAGCACTTTAGCTTCTTAATTTTCTATTACATTGTCTATTTTGTGGTCCCGCTAGTTCTGGCTTGCAGGCAGATATCTTGTAGATATTCCAATGCATCATTCTTTGCCATACTGTTGTTTAGAGTCAGTCTGTGCAATTTTCTTGCAGCAGCTAACTAGGTGGTCCACCATTTCTTCAGCTTCTTTGCAGAGGCGGCATTTGCTGTCTGTTGCTGTCTTCTCAATTTTGATTTGTATGTATTTGTTATTAAGGTTTGGTTTTGTGCAGCCAAAATTAGTGTCTCTGTCTCTTTCTTCAACTTTCCTGTTTTTAGCTATTGCCAAGTTTTATTATTATCTGTTTTGCCTGGTAGTTTTTTATATACTGGCCATGTAAGGCTTTTGGTCTCTCCAATACTTAGTAAGCCTTCATGATGTAGTAGCTTCATTGCATCTTCGTCACTGTCCTTCTATTCTTCCAATGACCTTTTTTATTCTTCAACTCTCTAGTGTGCTTAAAACATTCCATGCCCCCTCGTTTTCCTTGGTAAGTAGAGTCTGATATTGTCATTGTACTATGGATGAAGGCAGTGGTGGGATTCAATTTTTTTAACAACCGGTTCTGTGGGCGTGGCTTAGTTGGGGGTGTGGCTTGGTGGTCATGTGACTGGATAGGCGTAGCTAGCTGGTCATGTGACCGGGTGGGCATGTTTAGCTGGTCATATGACCGGGTGGGCGTGGCTATCTGCATAGGGACTACTCAGAGGGCTGAAAAAAGTCATTTCTGACTGGTCCTTGAACTTTTGACCCGTCCTCGCACTTATGACGATCCTCACATTTATGCCCGTTGCGGCATTCTTAACAACCGTATCACTCATTTCACAACTGCTTCTCTTCATCATGGTGACAAGATAGGGCAAAAACGTAAAATGTGAGGACAGTCGTAAATTCGAGGACTGGTCAAAAGTGCGAGGACCAGTCAAAAATAACTTTTTCAGCCCTCTGAGTAGTCCATATGCATAAAAGGATATAGCAATAGAGAGGGATGAAGGAAGAGAAATTAGAGTAGGAGTGAGGGTAAGAGAGGGAGAAAGAGAGGAAGAGAAGGAGAAAGGAAGAGGAAGTAGGGAGGAGAAGAAGAGGGAGGGCGAAGAGAAAGTAAGAAGGAAAGAAAAGAGAGAGGTGGTAGGTTTGAGGAGAAAGATTGTTGTACAATAAAAAAGATGAAAGGGAAGAAAGCCAACCCCAAACAAATATAAAGATATTAAGATAAAGAATGAATTGTTAAACTTTAAAGAATAAAAGAGAACAAATATGAATAAATAGCAATAATTAGAAACACACATACAAACATACAATGTATTTTCTTTGAACAGAGTATTTGGCCGGTTCACAAATTTAAACAGTGTTTAGTCATTTCAATTAAATTTACAATTTCTATATTTCCTTTTTGCCATATTTATTCCTCATCTATTTTTTTAAAAAACCAATATTACCCTTCATTCTCATCTCTAATCTTAATCAAATTCAATTTTTCCCTTCTATTCTATATTATACCCCGTCCCATTGTCATCTATTTTTATATCCATCCTCACATTGGTTAATTATGTAATATTACAGTTGTTTAATATAAATTCAACATTTTAAAATAAATCAATTAGTTATATAACTACCTTTTTTGTATATTAATCAATATGAACATGAATATTCCAATTATTTCCATGCAATCCAATTTCTTACAAATCAATTAATTATATTTACCAATAATAATAAACCAAATAATTTCCCCCATATATTCCTCCAAACCACAACTTAACCATTTCTGCTTTCAACACACTATACAATTAATAGTATCTCAATTATTACAATTCCCTAGTTAAATAGAGCTTTTTTTCTTTTGTGTTTTAAAATCTTGAACTCTCCTCTTTTGCCCTAAATTTCCCATTGTTTGCAGTTTTGTACCTACCTTTTTTGGTGAGGAAAAAGAAATCTCTCTCTGCCTCATTTTGTCATGTTGTAGCAAAGACCCTGCTTTACTTTCAGTTTCGCTTTTTCAGCATAGCTAGGCTAGGGGGAAAAAATCTGCTTGAGCACTCTTTGCAGAGAGCAATAGAGCCCTGGCAAAACAGCTGAGAGCAAATCAGCTGAGAGGAGGGAGGCCGATCTAATCAGGCTTTATTTGCAAAAAACCAGAATTTTAAGTGGTGTTCCGCCAAGTGGCTTAAAAAAAATAATAAAGCCTGAATTGCATTAATGTTCTTATTTATTGGAATGCAAAATTGGATTACTCAAGAGATTTCAGGATTTGCAAAAGCCTTTGCGCATTTATTCTTTTTGAATGAAAACATGGATGAAATAAATATTTACATTTGTTTGGCATTTTAAAGACCCTGTTTGAAAACTACTTTAGACTGGGTTTCTGCTTAGTAGTCTCAGAGTCTTGATTCTCTCAAACATAGTGAAAGCTAATATTAAAAAGGGTTTACACTAGGCATTGTTGGGCTACTGTATTCCCAGAGATCATGTCACATGACTGTAGTGCTTAGCAACAGCATTTCCCATCACTTGCCATTGTTAAGCAAGAATGACAGGTTAAACAAGGACCTCACGTGACTGCAAGTTTCTACTTCCTGCTGGTTTCCAAAGTCAATGGGGAAGTTGCCAATCCTGATCACGAGAAGTCTTAGGTTTGGTGGCTTGCAGACAGGTGGGCAGGTGAATGCTGTGGAGTGCATGTGAGCATAGGCAATGAGTGCTGCCGTGTGGCGTGAGTACAGGCAGGCAGGTGTGCAGGTAGAAGCTATGGCATGGTGCAAATGAACATAGATGTATGTGTGTTTGTGTACTACAGCCTGGCACTCCTCAAGAGATAAAACAGCAGGATTGTGAGCAACTGACTGGAGTGACTAGCAACCTCCGGCCAGCTTCCCCACTGATTTTGCTTATGGGAAGTTTGCAGGGAAGATCACAAATGGCAATCATGTGATTACAAGGCTGCGGCAACAGCCACAGTTTGAAGGACTGGTTGTGAGTCTTCTTCATTCAGCATCATTTGGACAGTTGCTGAACTAGTGGTTGTAACCCAAGGGCTACCTATGATATACAGGCAGTCCTCCACTTATGACCACAGTTGACCCCAGAATTTATGTCACTGAGTGAGAAATTTGTTAAGTGAGTTTTGTCACATTTTATGACCTTTCTTGCCACCTTGGCTAAGTGAATCACTGCAATTGTTAAATTAGTAACACGGTTGTTAAGTGAATCTGGCTTCCCCACTGACTTTGCTTGTCAAAAGGTCACCAAAGGGGATCACATGACCCCTGGACACTGCAACCATCATAAATATGAACCAGTTGTCAAGCATCCGAATGTAAATCATGTGACCATGGGGATGCTACAACAGTCATAAGTGTGAAAAATGGTCATAAGTCACTTTTTTCAGTGCCATTTTAACTTTGAACGGTCACTAAATGAACTGTTGTAAGTCGAGGACTACCTATATATATATATCTACAGAATCTAGCTAGAGAATCTAGCCTATTTGATCATCCCTTCCCATCCTTTTATGGCTCACTCTGCAAGATAGTATAATGTAAATATATACCTGACTAAAACAAAGAGACCTATAACTTAGTAATGTAAAGTGCTGTTAGGCAAAATTAACTAGGCATAGATTGCTAGTGAGAAAGTTAAATTGATTTATTTTATTTATGTATTTATATTCTTTATAAATAAAGGATATAAATAGTTATTTCTTTTTATTTTTTTGAATTTTGAATTTTTCCAGCTCTTACCTGTCTATTCCTATAGTTAATTAGTTTAATCTTGTGTAATAATACAGTTGGAGGGAAACTTTTTTTCACAAGCTGTCAAAAAGGCAAATTTCATGCTTGGGATAATTAGAAAAGAGATTGGAAATAAAATGCCAACAGGAGAATGCCCTGTGTTATGTCATCTGGAATACTTTGTACAATTCTGGCTGCTGCATTTGAAATAGAGCTGGAAAAGGTGCAGAAGAGAGCAATCAATTATCTACCTTACGAGAAAAAATATCTGGTACTTCTCAGCCTAGAAAAAGGCAGCTGAGAGGGAATATTATCAAGGTATGCACAATCATGGATAGCTGTAGGGGAAGGGTGAGAGAACCTGGGGATGGAGTTAAAAGAGGAATCAGCCTACAATCTCTGGGTAAATATAAGTGAGCTAAGTCCAACATCCCCCCACTTTGAATTCCATTGACCCCTATCTAACTCCTACCAGATGCTGACCTTAGTTGAGAAGGTTCCTGTGCATAGGCATGTTGTCGTTGTTGTTAGTTGCGAAGTCATATCCGACCCATTGCGACCCCATGGACAACATTCGTCCAGGCCTTCCTGTCCTCTACCATCCTCGAGTCCATTTAAGCTCAGGCCTACTTTTTCAGTGACTCCATCTAGCCACCTTGTTCTCTGTTGTCCCATTCTTCTTTTGCCCTCAATCTTTCCCAGCATTAGGCTCTTCTCCAGTGAGTCTCCAGTGAGTGCATAGTCATGAGTGGCAATAAATCAGTTTAATTGGACCTTCACATATGGACATGATCTTTCACACCTGACAATGGCTTGGAGGAAGATAAGTTCTTTTCTGTCTGTCTCTCGAAACACTAGATTCAAGAATCACATAAGGAAGTTGTTAGAAGGAGATTTGGATGAGACAGATTAAAGCACTTCTTCACAGAATGCATAATCAACCGTGGAATTTGTAGTCGTAAGACACTTTTGCATGGCTTTACAGAGAATTGATTAGTCATGGTTTCATCGTTAGAGATAACGAGTTGGGTGCAGTACGCCTCCAAATATATCCATTGAAGAAGAAGAATCACAGACGTCCACCATCTCTCACTTATTGCACTTCAGAAGTATCTGTTTGGTCATTGTGAGAAGCAGTGTTCTTACATCACCTGGCAGCGTTTCAGGATATGGAGAATACAAGTCTCATATGAGACTCAGGTTGGTTGAATGGCTAAGATATTGGGTTAGAAGCTGGGAGAGCCTGGTTCAGGTCATCACTTAAACATGGAAGTCAGTTGGATGACCTTGGACTAGTCGCAAGTTGGGGTCACCACAACTCGGCATCAGTCATCTGCAACACACTGACTGAAAAACAAAATCCCTTGTCACAACAAGTGTTGAGGAGCTTCCCTGTAAAATTAGGTGGGTACAGTGAAAAACAAGCAGCCCTGGCAAATGAGTGAGGCAAACAATAAAACTGCTATGGCTTCATAATTTGGCTTTTCAATAAATCTAGGATATGGTTTGGAAAGGTGATAGTTTTTGTTCACTCTTTTTACTACATTTGCATTTTTAATTGGGTTTTAATTGCATTGTTTTTGTTTTATATTAGTTTCCTGTGGATTGCATCCTGACAGAAAAGTGAAATGTTGTTCTCATATTTTTATATTAAATATTTCTTATATTTATATATTCTCTAATATATATTTCTAAGTATCTCTGAAACAAAAAAAAATTCTTTTCACCCACCATCTCAGCTTAAATAACCTATCAGAATATTTTTTCTTCAAAGTTCTCTATTATTTATTTGAATTCACTACTCTTTCTGTGCTGCAGGTGTAGAGAATTTGTAGCCCACATGTTAGTATCAAATAAAAAACGAATTAACAATTGGTTATGGCTTTAAAAAGAGCAAATATGATTATACTTCCAGTAGAAATATAGGTAAAGGTTCCCCTCACACATATGTGCTAGTCGTTCCCGACTCTAGGGGGCATTCCTCATCTCCATTTCAAAGCTGAAGAGCCAGCGCTGTCTGAAGACGTCTCCGTGGTCATGTGGCTGGCATGACTAAACGCCAAAGGTGCACGGAACGCTGTTACCTTCCCACCAAAGATGGTCCCTATTTTTCTACTTGCATTTTTTATGTGCTTTCGAACTGCTAGGTTGGCAGAAGCTGGGACAAGTAACAGGAGCTCACACTGTTACTTGTAGAAATATAGTTTCCACTATAATCTGCATTGTAAATACATTAAAAGAATTTTTGGCAATGTGTAAGAGTAACAAAGGGGATAACCAAAGGAATGGAAACTGATAAATCCTATAAACAGTTACTGAGGAAACTGAATATATTTAGTTTTGAAAAAAAGAGATCCAAGAGATCATCTTTCATGTACAGTATTTAGGGGAGGCTGTCACACACACAAAAAAAGAACTATTCTTTGTTGCCTCAAAATGCAGGATGTGGAATAATACCTTTAAGTTAGCAGCAGGCAAAGTCTGCTTCAGTCTTAGAAATAAATCATAATGGTAAGAGTTAATGCATAGTAGAAATAATTTTCTGTGGAAATTTTGGGCTTTAAGGAGAAAGCAGGACAGCCATTTAATTTCTATTCCTGAATGGCAGAGCGAATTGGCTTGCTCGGTTGTCTATAGTGCTCCTTCCAGTTGTGCAACCCTGACATGATCAAATCCCTGCCTGTGGCCAAATCCTCCAGTGATTCTCATAACTTTGTTTTCTAGGTTGCTATCATTGTATTTAAGGAAGAGTCTAGAATAGTCCAGTCTAGAGAGGAAAATGTGGTAAGAAATGGCATTGGATTGAAGGAGAAGTTCAATTTCCTTGTTACTAGTTTGCTTTCCAAAAATACCTTATCTATACAGGCAATGTTTGACTTATGATCAGTCACTTAGCAACCGAGATTATGATAGACCCCTCTCCCCCCCAAAAAAGCAATTTACAACCCAGTTTTGAAGTTATGGCCACTACAATACCCAATGGTCATTCACTGTTATGACCCTCCCACTCCCTGTCACCAATCACACACTTAAACTGCAGGGACACCCACTTATTCCTCCTATTTCCCCCCATGCCCGGCCAGGTCCCTTCAGGTCTTGGGTATTTGTCCCCCCCACCCCCGGATCTCTGCAGGCCTCGGACTTGGTTTTCCACCCCACCAGGGCCCCAGCCTCCTCCCCACCCATTCGCTGTCACCAATCGCACACTTAAACCTTTCAAAAGTCTCAGAGCTCCAGACTTCACATTAGGGAAGAAGGACAGGCCGCTCTACCCCTCAATATCCTTGGGCCACATAGTTGTGTCCTGATGCCAAAGGAATCAGGCTTTATTTGCAAAAAAACAGAATTTTAAGTGGTGTTCTGCCAAGTGGCTTAAAAAAAAATAATAAAGCCTGAATTGCATTAAAGTTCTTATTTATTGGAATGCAAAGTTGGATTACTCAAGAGATTTCAGGATTTGCAAAAGCCTTTGCGCATTTATTCTTTTTGAATGAAAACATGGATGAAATAAATATTTACATTTGTTTGGCATTTTAAAGACCCTGTTTGAAAACCAGTTTAGACTGAGTTTTTGCTTAGTAGTCTCAGAGTCTTGATTCTCTCAAACATAGTGAAAGCTAATATTAAAAAGGGTTTACACTAGGCATTGTTGTGCTACTGTATTCCCAGCGATAATTTCTAATCCATTTTGAAGAAGTCTCTTAAGCAGAAACTCCTTTTATATGTAACCTTTTCCAGACCTTTTTATGTAACCTTGGTCAAGCTCAGACTAGAAATTTCATCCCCCAACAATTACTCTGAATTGAGTTGCAGTTTAATTTGAACCAACTGCCCAGTTTTTGTAGGGTAGTAAAAACTCTTAATCCAAGAAGCATGGCTCCCTACAATTTGCCCTTGGCCTATTCCAACTATTGTTCGATTTTTACCAGATCCCACTGTAATGCCCTTTCTTCAGCAGCACTATTATGGGATAGATACGGGAGTCTCCTCCTGACTCATTGCTTGTGCTCTTGTGGTGATCAACCTTTATATTGCAGGAGTTATAGAACATTGCACCAAAGTCTTATTTTTCCCCATCTAGCAGCAATCCCAGGCAGTCAGACAATTTCTATGTCTATTTTCTACTTGCTGATAAAGGTTTATTTATACAACCTACAATGTTGTTGTAAAGTTTTGTTATTTAGCATCCATGCTTTCACAGGAGGATTTAAGATGGATTGTTGTATATGCTATTTCTGTTTATTCATTTATGTGTTTATTTATTTATTTATTTATTTGTCGCATTTCTATGCCGCCCAACTCCCTGGACTTTGGGCAGCTTACAACAAAAAATAATGCGAACAAAAGTTGTTTTAAAAAACATTAAAAACTCATACACTCCATTCATGGCCGGATCTCGCAAGATTGCAGCAGCGAGATCAACAGACCCGGGCCTGCCGGAAGAGCCAGGTCTTCACCGCTTTCCGGAAGGCCAATAGGGTGGGGGCGGTCCGGACCTAAGGAGGTAATTGGTTCCAGAGAGTCGGGGCAGCCACAGAGAAGGCCCTCCCCCATGGGCCCGCCAGCCGACATTGTTTAGCTGACAGGATCTGGAGGAGACCAACTCTGTGGGATCTTACCAGTCGTTGGGAGCTATGCGGTAGAAGGTGGTCTCGAAGATAGCCTGGTCTTAAGCCATGTAGGGCTTTAAAGGTAATAACCAACACCTTGAATTGTGTCCGGAGACTGATAGGGAGCCAGTGCAGCTCACAGAGAACTGGTGTAATGTGGGTGTATCTAGGTGCACCCACAATAGCTCGCGCAGCTGCATTCTGGACCAACTGTAGTCTCTGAACACTTTTCAAGGGTAGCCCCATGTAGAGCACATTGCAATAATCCAACCGTGAGGTGACAAGGGCATGAGTGACTGTGAGGAGAGCCTCCTGATCTAAGTAGGGTCGCAGTTGGTGCACCAGGCGAACCTGTGCAAAAGTCCCCCTAGCCACAGCTGTCAGATGTTGCTCTAATCTTAGCTGTGAGTCTAGAAGGACACCCAGATTGCGAGCCCGTTCTGAGGGGGACAATTTCTCCCCCCACCCCAGGACCAGAGATGGACAATCGACATAGTCTTTAGGAGGCAATACCCACAGCCATTCGATCTTGTCTGGGTTAAGTCTGAGCCTGTTGACTCCCATCCAGACCCTCACAGCCTCCAGGCACCGACACATCACATCCACTGCATCACTGAACTGAACTATCTATTTTATCTATTTTGGCTTTCTTTTTCTTTCCGTTTCGGGCCAAAAGCAGTTATAAATCACATTGAAACTGACTTGCATGTGTGTTTGCAGTTTGAGTCGCTCAAGAGAGAGATGTCCATCCAAAGAAAGTAGCTAATGTGTACAAAGAAAAGGAAGAAGATAGATTCAATTAAGACCTGAACTTATAAAAACTCTTGGAAAGTATTGATTTAAACATAAACTAGATGTGGAATTTTATCTCCATTAAAGCCTATCTTCTTTGTTGTGAAATATAGATCAATACTATTGTCCTCAAATATTATAGATGCTGGGTTATAGAAGTTTTAATAATATAAATTCATGGCACACATGAGGTGGATTTTTTGTTGTTGTTCTAATTATTTACTTAAATTCAGGCACTTCGGCATCCTCTTTATATATTAGGCCGGTATTATTAATCCCATATTGGGAGGTGTGGTGTGAAATTAATTAAAATAATAGAAACCACCTACAGTATTTCACCATCTTCTCCACATCACCCAAATAAAATTAGAATAATAAGCATTTTTTAAGGGATTCCCTGAGATTGTTTTTTAAAGCTAAAAGAAAAGAATGTCCCAATTTTAAACCATCACTCTAGAGAAGAAAGGAATGTTAAATTTCTTCATATACCACTTTTTCTCATTTGAATTGCTTCCCAAGAATAGCTATTTTTAAATTCATTTGCTCTGCCGTTAACATAATTCTATGCTGCATTATTTCTTCTGCCCTTGATTAAAGTCACAGTGGCATGTTAGATTAAGCAGGTGATCTTGATTATGTGATTTAGGGTTAATTATTCAACTGGAAATTAACGTAAATCCCTTTGTTAATCAGGCAAGAGAAATAAGCTAAATTCTGGGGTGACTGGGAGCCGGTATTTAAACATCTGTAAAAAATCAATGACTGACCATCACAGAATTTGTGCTATGTAAGTCACTTAATGATGCCTTATAAATTGTGATTGTAAAGGAAGCACAGGAGTGGGTCACAGCATTTTAGTATATTTAATCTATAAAATCCTAATAAAATGTATGGGGCATGGTTTCAGAATGAGACACGCTATATGAGCACTATGGTGGGTAGGTAAATGGGTCTCTCCTGCTAAACAAAAACCACTAAAACTTTACAGTAATGCACAATAGATTTTTTTTTATCTTATTCTTACTTAAGTTTTATGTGCAGTTTTGGGATCATCCAAGTAAGGTAGAAAGGGTTTCATTTCCTGATTTGTTACAGCTACTGAATATTCTTTTCCCGACATGAATTGGTTTCATAAACCTGGATGATGAGGTAGGATCAAAGAGGAAAGATTGTTCAAGGTGAAAGATACAACTCTGGACATGTTCCACTCTTATTTTATCTATGTAGCTTCATGTCCTAGCTCTTACCGGAACAACTAATGAATTATAATATGTTATAACAGCTGATAGGTAGCAGTGCAGGGAGGAAGTGCTGGAGGAGGAAGAGGAAAAGAGGATTCAGTGAGAACAGGAATCATTGTATAGGTCTCCTGCATCAGCAGGGGGTTGGACTAGATGATCTCCAAGGTCCCTTCCAACTCTGTTACTGTTACTGATTTGAAGACAGTACAAGTCTGCTCACTGTTGGGTGACCAACACCATCTTTACAATTCATTCAGTTTTCTTGAATTTATCTTTGGTGCTTTGGACAGGAGTTCAAAATGGCACACATTCCATTCCATCCTCCACTTTTCCCCTACATCAAAAACCCTGTGATGTATTTCCATGCAGGATGTAGAGAACTTGGCAGTCATTATAGCCTAGTCTTTCCTACCGGAGCTCACTAATTTGGCTTAATTATTCTCCATTGTGGAATTATTATTCCACATGGAATTATTTCCTGTGGAAAAAAAAACCACCAATATTTTGAACAAGCAAAGGGTTCCAGTATAGCTCTAAAGCACTGACTTTGGAATTATCCCATCAAAAATTGGAAGGGTTACAGATGTTCGTTTTCTCAGGTTTGCTTATGGGAAAATGTATACCATACATGCATGCTGGATAGACAGACAAGCACACTTCCACCTCATACATTTCCAGTTCATGTGTTGCCTTCTGTTCTTTAAACCTAATGGGGCTTTCATTTTTTGTGGATCTTATAAATTGCATCCCACCCCATTTTCCAAGTGAATTACAATTACCTTGGTCCTCTGCATATTATTTTTCACATCTGTCCCCCTCAAATATTTTACAATTTGCTGCAAGTCATTCTGGCCATGAAAACAACATTGTCTGCATGCAAAAGTACACACATATTCATATCACCAGCCAACACACTTGTAACAGTACAATAATAATTCCTTATATGTTTATCCATAGAAATAGGTGACTTCCGTCTTCTATCTCAAGACGCATTTCAAATTCCTTTTCAGGCTTCATTTTGGCTCCCAGAGAAGTTCCTTCTTTCATTTTGTGATTTAATTACCTTATCCCCCACCACCACCATTTACCTTCCTGTCCTGTTTCCTCTTTTCTGCTGTTTACATACTATGGACATTAGATT